AATAACAAATTGTAACCAACCATCCTAAACAATAATTATCATAAATCCATAAACAGAAAAATACCACTCACACCACCTCTTGGGAATGTGGGCGTCATGTTAGTAAAATTAATTCCTGCTGTTTGGGGACAAAGGAATCTTTAGGGGATCCTGAAAAGAAAAATTTTGAATTAATTGTCAAGTCCTGGGGGAGGTAGCTCTATCATTTGTTGTCCAGTCTCTGCATAATGCAAAAGTGCAGGGCTTATCTCAAGTCCTTGTTCAAGTAGTCTGTGAGACTGGACCATCGCAGAGAGCCATTTTGGAATTGTCCTGAGCAGTTTGCAGTCCAAAGCTAATCTTTGGGTGATGTTTGTCAGCTTAGTGGTATTGTTATGGTCCATGTGGAATAGTCATTGTGGGGCCCCATCATCTTTTTAGAGACTTCAAATTTGCTGTTAGGTGTGGTCGTGATTCCTTGCAGAAAACTGAGAGAGACTCAAACACAAAAACTTGGACAGGCAGCCAGCTATCTATGTTATTTTAGATTTTTGGAAGTTTCTTACAATGCACTTCCTGTTTGCTTAGGTAATATATCCTTCTGGAGTCTTTGATGTAGTTGAAGGAAAGATAATTATAATTATAATTTTTCCTTAATTATGATAAATGATCAATTAAATACAAAACTTTAGACTCACAAATATAGGCTAGATAGAATATTTTCATTGATTTTTGCCAAATACAAATAGTCTAGATATTATAACTGCAATTCTTGCTTGATAACTCTTCTATTATATGCAGTTTTACTATGTGAAAGTTAAAACTTTCCTTTTTATTAGATAGAAAAGGGGAAGGGCTGTGGGATCTTTCTGTATGCTGTGAATATGTGTTGCTCTGATTGGTTGATAAATAAAGCTGCATTGGCCTATGGCAGGGCAGGAAGGAGCCAGGTGGGAAAATCCAAGGGAGATAGGGAAAGGAAAAAGAAGAGGCAGGAGAGACACTATCTTGCAGTCAAAGAAGCAGCACGTAATGGCACACAGGTAAAGTCATGGAACACGTGGTGACATATTGATTAATAGAAATGGGCTGATTTTAGTTATAAGAGCTACCTAGTAAGAAGCTTGAGCCATAGGCCATCACCATACAATTCATAATTAATGTAAGCCTCTGTAAGTTTTTTTGGGTCTGAGCAGCTGTGGGACCAGGCAGGGCACAGGAAAACTTCAGACTACACACCTCTCTGTATGAACTAATATCCCTGTACTATCAAGTGAATTCCTTTTGGAATAAAGCAACAGACCACTACTTTCTACCCACCCAAAGGCTGAGAATATTATTAAATGATTATTGAGCTTATACTAGATTTTACATAGCTAGCTTCAATCTCCCATACTTGATGCTCCCATCAATACAACTGGGGCAGAGAAAGCGACAGCACACAGGGCAGAGGTGGCACATGCCATTAGAAATTCATTAATAATAGTTATGCAATAAGCAGGGAATTCTTTTTCTATGTCCTATCTAATGTCAATTGTTCTGGGTGTGCTACAAGCACATATTCATAACCCTATATTGTTAATGGAGCCAAAAGATTTTGAAAACTCTAATACAATATATTGCAAGTGTATCATGGGATTCTATCATTGCTGGTTTTTCTAATAGAATTTCTTGCCAGGTGGTGGTGGCTCACTTCTTTAATCCCAGCACTTGGGAGCCAGAGGCAGGCAAATCTCTGTGTTTGGGGACAGTCTGGTCTACAGAGCTGGTTTTAGCACACTAGCACAGTCAGGTCTACATGGTGAAACCCTGACTTGAACACACACACACACACACACACACACACACACACACGCGCACACACACAGAGAGAGAGAGAGAGAGAGAGAGAGAGAGAGAGAGAGAGAGAGAGAGAGAGAGCTTAAACTTAATACCAAAGAGGAGAGGAGAAAGACCACCAACCCAAGTCATCATTGCCAAATTAATTAAAGCAAGCTTTTTTATTTTTATTTGTGTACATGGGCTGCCCTCCCCTAAGTTGGAGTCAAGAGGTCAACAATGGACATGAGGGAGAAAAAGGTTTTGTAGCTTAGAGGTAGGGGCTTTCCAAAAGGGAGGATTTGGTGGACAAAGTAGATGGCGTTACAGGAACAGAACAAAAGCATAACAAGTTCATCATAACAGTCTCCTCAAACAAAGACATAGTGGCAAGGTGGGCATAACAATTTAGTTATAACAACAGGTAGTCATAACAACGTTTTGAAACAAAGATATGGTTGTCTTTTCTCAGAGCAGGCCATAGAGAGCCATGTGTAGATAAGGTTACAGGTGAGATATAGCCCAATCCTTGAGAAGCAAAGGTTTAATCATAAATAGGAATGAACATAGTTTGTCTTTATTATAAGATGATCTTTAACGCTAAGATGGAGGAAGGCTGATTCATCAGTAGCCCAGGCTATTCTCAAATTCACTATGTAGCCAAGGATGATCTTGAATTTCTGATCTTCCTAACTCTACCCCTTATGTGCTGGGGTTATATTCATGTACCACCATGCTTGAATTTTGTGGTGCTGGGAATCAAATCCAGCCAGGACTTCCTGCATACTTGGTAAGCAATCTACCAAATGAGCTCTCTCTCCACAAAAGCTGTTTTTGCATTGACAGAGTAACATCTGGCTTGAACATTGTACTCAATTGTAATTTCTAGCTGGCTATAGACTGCTGTGGAACAATCTCTTTATACTGTAAATATGTATTGCTCTCATTGTCAATAAAAAGCCGATTCTTCAATACCTAGACAGGATTTTTTTGGGCAGAGAGAATGCTGGGAGAGACAAGGGCTGAGTCTGAGTGTCATTGGCAAGATACAGGGGGAGCAGGATATGAGGTAACCAGCCATGAACCATATGGCAGCACATAGATTAATAGAAATGGGTTAATTTAAGTTACAAGGCCTAGCTAAAAATCAAGTCTTAACAATTGGTTGCACATTTATAATTAATAAGAAGTTTCTTTGTGGTTTTTTTGGGGGGAACTGGCTGGTGAAAAATGAAAGTCTGACTACAATAGACAGACACAGGTGCTCCTAGTAACTTTCTGAAACATGATGTGTTATCCATACTCTTCTTTGAATCAGGCAGTAAAACCACTCGAGCAAAAAGAGTATTCATCCTGCCCGAACCCAATGCTAGGCCATATGTAGTTCCTTAAATGACATAGTGAAATAATAAGGAAATGTAAAGATATAGGGGCTAATGTAGAGATGTAGGGACTGGGGTATATATTAAGCATGAGGTTCAGTTCTCAGCACAGTCACCCAGAATAGGATGCAAATATTTAATGATATACAAATATGATGTCAATGTTTTAGAAAATGAACAGAATAACTTACAGAATAATTTGGATAAGATACTTGAATTAAACTATTCCTCACTTGCTTGGCCTGGTGGTGCAGACTTGTAACTCCAGCTACTCTGGAGGTAAAAGCAGGAGGGTAGGAAGTTCAAAGCTGGCTTGGGCAACTTAGCCAGACCCTGTCTCAAAATTTTTGATTAAAAAGAGCTAGGGATGTAGTTCAGCCAGCTCAGGCTACAGTGTGAGTCCTTGTTTCAGAAACAACAAAATGAAAACATTTAAGCATTTTGTTTAAACATTCATCAGAAAATGGACATGTGTCTTGTTTCACACTTGAGGTCATGTGAAAAATGGTATCAGGAACATACATGGAAGGAATTTTTAGTAGAATGGGCTGCTTTCAATCAAATAGGAGAAGGACTATTTGAGTGGAGGTACAGGACGATCAGATAGAAAGAGGAAATCAGGGGTACAGGGTAGAGTGGGGGAAGGGGGAATGAAAAAGTAAAATGAAACACATGTATAAAAATGTCATTTCATCAATAACGAAAGGCAACAATTTGTCTGCTAATTTAAAAAATTAACACTGGGAGGTGGTAGCACCCATATTTAGTTCTTAGGCAGATGCAGGTAGATCTCTGAGTTTGAGGCCAGTCTGAATCTACAGAGCGAGGTCCAGGACAGCCAGGGGTACACAGAGAAACTCTGTCTCTAGAAAAATGAAACACCAACAACAGCAAAGACGTTTAACAAGCACAGAGCACATATAAAAAAGGATTATCTCTTTTGGTTTCTTGGCTCTGTAGTAGAGCACAGGTACCATGAAGACAGGAAGGGGAAATGGGGGGAAACATAAGTGGGGAGGGCAATGACGGGGGTGGGGGTGGGGGTGGGGGGAGGGTGATGTATGGGGTGGGAAAGCTAGCAGGAGAGGGAATGGATAAAGAATGCTTTGGGTGTTTGAAAAAATCCATAGGCAGATCTAGTTCTCATAGGCTTTCTTAAAAATGCAGATACAAAATATGTACATGTAGTTTAATTGGAAATATCCCATCCTGGGGAATAATGCCCTCCCCTGGAAGCACAGACATTAGGAGAAAAAACTCTGGTGCCAGGTGTGTGAAACCTCCTTTGAGTTTTGTGGTTTGATAGTCCAAGAGATTTCCTCAGACAATATAAACTGTTGCCATTGGTCTGGTTGCCTGCCAGAACTTGAGGACATGCCCCTCCTGAAGAGCAAGCAACCACTGCTCTTCCAAAGGACCCAGGCACAGTTCCCAGCACTTCTGCGGCAGCTCACAGCCATCTGTGTCTATAACTTCGGTTCCAAGGGATCCAGTGCCCTCTCAGTTCCTCTTCTGTCCTCTGTGGGCACAATGAATGCTTGTGGTACACACACATATATGCAGGCAAAACACCCGAAGGGGTCTGGAGGCACAACACTTTAATCCTTATTAAAACATATTTAAGCTTGTTTCTCCCGTAAATGCTAATTTCCCGTTATATGGTTCCCTCAGTCACCCTTTGTCTCACTTAATGGAGCCAAAGATTTTCTCAGGAAGTAGCAAAGAAACCCTCCCGGCTTTCCCAGGTCCACAGCTCCCGCCCCTTTGAGACTCTGGGGCGGATCTAGGATAGATCAGTTATCCGCTGGGCGGGGCCAGCACTCAGAGGGACAGGAATTTCCTTCTTCCTTTCCTACTTCCCCCTCAACCAAGAGTTGGGAGAGTGGGAAGAAGGCGCCAAGTGCACGCTGCTGGCGCTTGCAGCCCCCAGAGGCCTGAGATCCGACCACAGGACGGCCCTGCCTGGACCACGTAAGATTCTTGCATTATCCCCACCTTCCTGGTAGCTTGAGCGATCTCTCTGGAGCCAGGGCCTCTCCCGTCCCTGAGTGTGGGACCCTGAGCCTGGAGCCTTGGGACTTGGCGCTCACTGGGACGGATCCTCTGGCAGGTGGAGGAGACACCACGTGGGATGGCCTTGTTCATGAGTTTAGGGACACTTGAGTTTGTGCACTGGGCAGCATCCGGAAAGCCTGGTGGAAGGGCCTCGTGGGGGACCCGGAATCACTTCCCTGGTCCAGAGGAGGCTGCTGGAGGCCAGAGAGGGCTCAGGGACTTAGCACTAAGCAGGGCCCCCTACTCTCTGCCTGTGCACCGCCATTTAGGCGCGGGTGCTCTGGTGGTTTGAGCTAAGTAATTGCCAAAGTGTGGCCACCCTGTGCAAGGCTGTGCGGGTTCCCCAAACTTAGTGCAAGAACGTTTACTTTCGGGGATGTTTCAGAGGGGAAAAATCACCAAAAACAGCTGCCTTTCTACGTGTGCTTTGGCAAGTTCTCACAAAATTTCAGGGCCATTTTTTTTTTCCGAAATGACAAGGTTTCTTTGTGTAGCCCTGGCTGCCCTGAAACTTGCTCTGTAGACCAGGCTGTCCTCCAACTAAGAGATCCTTCTACCCAAGTCTCCCAAATGCTCAGATTAAAGACATGGACCACCGGCCAGTCATATTTTCACTGGTCTGGACTCTAGAGTTTTGTGAACTGGAGAAGATATGAAATCATGGTTATGAATATTTTACAGCACTGATTTACCAGGACCTTGCTCATGTGAGGAAAAGCACTCTGCCCTACAACCACTTGCTCCCTGGATTATTAAAGGAATAATGAAACTTAAATTTTAAAATTTTTAAGAAAAAATTCTTTCCGATACCAAAGTCTATAATAATACATAATATGCCTAAGAAGAGCAAGTCCTATTTAAAAAAACAGGTCAAAATGCAAATTATTTACAAATGAGGGCATTGTTGGTATTTGTGGGTGTTCCTCTGTATCCTTGTATTGGTTGTTAATCATACTGAAGCATAAACCTCCAATGCAGCATTATTTAAAACTTAAAGTTTCTGAAGAGATTGATATCATAGTTCCTACTTATTTACCACGATGAATATTATGTTCACATATAGCCACGGGCTTTTTTTTTTTTTTTTTTTTTTTGCTGTGTTTTTACTCAAATGTAGGAATACTTAAGCTTCCTCCTCTAGAGTCTAGAATGATAAAGGAATGACCTAATACACAAAACACAAAAGAAGTTACCTCTCTGCTTAGTTTCTGCATCCCTACAAGGTTTATCAAGGTTTATCAGTGAACCAGGCATGGAACTAGGAGCTTCCTGTACATAGCCATCGCTCTTTCTCAAGTTTGTGTATACTCCAAGGTGACTTGATACCTGAGAAGCTTTAGGTTCTCTTCCTCTATTATTTCTCAAACTAAGTGTCTTGTCTCCAACATACTCCTGCTTTCATCACCCAAGGCTAAGATAAGAGGTCTCTTATAACACATTCAGCACGGCAGAACTATTTTTGAATTTTACTTTATCTTTTAATTTTCTATGTGTGTGTGTGATAGTGTGTGTGTGTGTGTGTGTGTGTGTGTGTGTGTGTGTGTGTATACAAAGTGTGTATGTGGTGCAGGAGGCACGTATACACAGTGGTTAGAACAATTATATCCAGTAGGTTTTCATTGTTAACCTTGTCTGAAACAGGGTCTCTCTTATTTTTGCATTTTCAGCGCACACTCCAAAGTGGTGGACCTAAAATTTTTGGCTTTATTCTGCTCGCTTCTTTAATTTCTATCTACCTAAACAAAGGTAGAACAACAGGGGCGCTATAATTTGCAGAGGATCTAGACACAGGTTTTCAGGTGCACACAAGAAAATGTTTTTACCTGAGACACCTCTGTGATCTTACAATTCTTCTTCTATGACTGTTACAACTTTTTATATGTCGACATCAATTTTAAGTATATTTTTAAGTCAAGGAAATTACTCCGTGTTTATATCCTTATTGGAAAGATAAAGAGTGGGCTTTCAATGTCATTTGAAACTATAAGGGTCAGGATCGAATAATTAACAATCATAAGATATATATATATATATTGTATACACATTAAAAATAAAAAATATGTAATATGCATGAATGCTGTATAAATCTCATGTATTTAAATTAAATATTCTCTCAGAAGAATTGCTGTCACTGTCCCATGGAGAATCATGCCATTCTAGGCTGCATCTGGGTTGATGTGTGGAATTTCTCATGCCCTACTTCACAATGTGCAAAAGGCCACATAATGACCCACTAAATATGGTGGAGGCTTCCCAACAGCACCCACATTTCACTTCTGGAAACCATACACATACTACCAGGTATCTAGAGTGGTACACAAAAGCTTAGGGACATATGGTCAGTGTGGCCACATGTCTGTCATCCATTTGGCTCACTCCCTGCCATCCTCTCTAATCTCTGTCTGCCGGGCCTTCTCTCTGGCTTGCCTTTTGTTTCTTTTACAAGGCTTTCCCCCTTGAACTGTGCTACAGGAGGAATTCAAGAATTCGGAGCTGTCCGTAAAATTTCCTGCTCCACAGCCACATGCCCAGACAACTAAAAAAAGTCTGAACGCCACCCTCACATCATCATCATCCTATGCAAGCTGGTTGTGCGAACCCAGTAAGGCAGTGTGGTGGCTCAAAGTGAATCCCAGTAGAAACAGCTAGAGCAGAGTTTGGACTCAAGGGTGCTCACAAACAGGCCAGGCAGAATTTAGGTACAATGGTGGCCAGGTTTCACGGCCCCTGCCTCCCCTGACAAGCCTCCTCTGTTTCAAGAAGGACACCCATGAAGGCCGAATATTCCTTCCTGTGTTCACCTGCCTAGCTCCCTTTGCATTAAACCCAGGAGGAACTCCCAGGGTCAAAGATCCAAAAGCCCCTTGTCCTGCACTCCCCTGTCCAGGCATCACCTCAGCAGGAAGAATACTTAGAGAAGGCTCTGAAATTAACAGAACACTCTATCTAGTGTCCTACAACTGCTACACATGGAGAAGTGCTTGTGTGTGTGTGTGTGTGTGTGTGTGTGTGTGTGTGTGTGTGTGTGTGTGTGTTGGGTGTTTGTGTATACCTGGGATTATTGTGGCCTAGTCCTGTGAGAAGCAATGGCGGAAAGGCACAGTATGTAACAGTTATGGTGGTCAGCTATGGGATGTAAGGGAAGGACAGGTTTGCATGCAGGGGAAGCATTATAGGGCTCCATTTTTCAGCTCCAGCTCAGATGAGCACAAGGTTTGGTGCCTCATGTGTGGGGTTTGGGGCACAGGGCTTGCTGGGGCATGGTGGATGAGAAAATTGTGTAGGAACCATTGGAAAGGTGGTAGGAGCCTCCTTTGGAGTGGCCTGCCAAGCAGGTCTAGGAAGTCAGGGCCTCCACCCGAACAGCCAGCACCAAGAAGCTCCCTTTTTAGCCTAAGCAAATGTCTTCAGGAGACTTTGTAGCAAAGGAGATTTGGAAAAGCATAAACAGGCTTGTTTCCATGTGGTAGGGAGAGTGATTTTCTTCTAGACTCCTTCATGGAAGATCTCAGCAGTATGAAGGAGGGCATCTGGAGACTTTCAGTGCTCATGGAAGGAAGGCTTCCTGTTGGGAAGTTCAAAGCACTTTCCAACTGAACGTGGCCTAGCTACCGTGGATACCAGGGATGGGACTGTACATAGGAGCGAAGGATAGAGAAAGACAGAGATAGAGGTAGAGGTGGAAGTAGAGGAGGATAGATAAATGAGGGGGGACGACAGGGAGAGAGAGGGGCCGGGACAGGATGAGAGAGGGTGGGAGAGCAAATGAGAATCTGCATGTGGGGTGTTGGGTGTTTTCGTGATTGTTGGTGTTTTTCAGACAGGCTGGTGGGCAGACCCGCTCTGTCTGTGGACACTTTTTTCTATTCCATGGGTCTGGGCCCCTGGAGGGAATTTTGTGTAGGACACCTGGAATGTTGTGGGATATCCATAAGGACAGACAGGGTGGATGTGTGCTGCAGGCATCCTGGTGTTGGTGTTAAGAGTGAGAATGAGGGTCGGGCGGTGGTGGCGCATGCCTTTAATCCCAGCACTCGGGAGGCAGAGCCAGGCGGATCTCTGTGAGTTCGAGGCCAGCCTGGACTACCAAGTGCGTTCCAGGAAAGGCGCAAAACTACACAGAGAAACCCTGTCTCAAAAAACGAAAAAAAAAAAAAAAAAAAAAAAAGAGTGAGAATGACTTCTTGTCCCTTAATTCTATGTTGCTGTCCTCGGGCCAGTTGAATCTCTTGAGAGAGCTGAGTCTTGTGTGTGCCTAGGCCCTGCCACAGGTAGGTGGGTGTCCATAGAGGATACAGAGAGTTCTGTGCCTGACAGGGTCTCGGGGAAGTTAGAGAACGGAAAAAGAGAAGTTTCCTGTGTGGGGCCTGGTAGTTGGTGTAGGGTAGGGTGGGGAGGTGGGAGGTTAGGTTTGGGAGGCAGAGGACTGTGCAGAGGAGAGGGATTGTGACAGAGCTGGAGGTAGGTCAGAATGGTTGCCTGGTGCTGCCTAGGAGACGGTTAAGGTCGGGGCCGGGACCCAGGGTTTGGTGACAAGAGGGCAGGTGGGCGCAATGTTCCTTCTTTTGATGTGTCCTTGTCTCCTCCTCAGGGACCTGGTCGGCCTGCCTGTTGAGGCGAGGTTGTGGATGTCCCCGGACCCTAGTGGTCCCTGCTTCGGATGATGTAGGGCAACATCCACCTGAACGCACATCACTACCAAGGCCAAGGTTTTGGAAGGAAGCCCTTCTCCTCTCCCATCTCAATATTAGACCATGGGACCATGGGCCACGGGGCTCAGGCCGCCGACCCTGGAGCCCTGACCAGTGAACACAGTTGCCTGTCCTTTACCCTTGTGTCCATCCAGGAGCGGCCTTCTGCCAGGTGGGAAGCCCGTGCTGGGCCTAGGGTCCCATTGAGTCGGGTGGTCACCTCTCTTGTTTTCACACCTCCGCGTGTGCTCTGGGTTCTGGGACACCACCAACCCACTGCCCTAGCAGGACCGGGGTCAGCATGGGAGGCCCCTCTTGGCTGGTCCCTTGACCTTGAAGCTTGGGTCAGCAGACCCAAGGCCATCCTGGCAGCTGTACTGGTCACCCTGGTGGGTGGAGTCATGTAGACAGCTGCTGGATCTCTGAAAGCTGCTGTGTGTGTGTGTGTGTGTGTGTGTGTGTGTGTGTGTGTGTGTGTGTGTGTGTGTTTGGGGTGAGGGCGGGGCGAGGGCAGGGATGCAGCTGCGAGAATACCCTGGTTTGGCAGCTAGGGAGTGACTCTCAGCCCCTGCTCCCCAAATCCATGAGTATGTTTCTAAGACTCCTCCCCTTTAGTCCAGATTGGCATGTGGTTTGTGTAGGATTCCCTTAGGGTCTGGTGCGGGCTCTCAAGTGCTTTTGCGCCCACATGCACACACTCCCCACTTGGCCCCCTCCATCACACCCTCCACCACCAGCTCCCTCTCCAGGTACTACATGATACCCTCAGGCGGGGCTATCATGGGATGGCACGTGCCCAAAGCCAAGTGTCTCAGGGCAGTGCAGGGCATGCAGGAACCTGTTAAGGTCGGTATCCTCCATCTGCACACCGCACCCCACCCGCTGAACACCCTGGGGTTACTAGCAGCAGCCCTAGAGTCTCATGTCAGTTCAGTCCCTTCATACTTACTTGGCCTCCATGTTGGAACTTGGCAGGAGAATTCTTTTTTTTTTTTTTCAATTTTTTTGCTTTGCGAAGGGCGGAGGGAGAGCACCTTGCACCCTTGGCCATTGGCATTCTCGGTGCACTGCTGCCATCACGCGGATTCAGTTTGCCGATTCCGCCAGCAAGTCCCTGTGATTCCCTGGAAATGGAGGCGGCCCGCTAGGGAAGGGCTCCGGCCTGGGTCCCCCAGGACCAAAGCGGTTCTCTCTCCCACTCCATGAGCCAGGAGAGCTGGAGGAGGGAGCAGGGTCCAGGAGACTAGCTCCGGGCGGGCGCCACGAGGGTTGGCTTGCGGGTCACTGAAGCACAGCCTCCCGGGTCCTGTGACCGCCATGTCTGGCCAAAGCAGAGGACCTCTCCGCAGGGGATTGTGCAGCCTGGGCTGCATCAAGGTCGTTTTGGGGAGATTTCCTACCCGTGTGCCGGACCGCCTGCCCTTACTGTGGTGCCCAAGTCCACCCTGGGACCCCCTAGCTTTTGTCTGAGCCTCCCTAGCGGTATCCACAGCTCACTTCCGGAGACCACACAAACTCTGTCCTGCATCTCTGGGAGGTCCTCAGGGTCTCAGGCCTGGTTGCTAGCCACCTTGGCCAAATGTCTGTCATCCATTTAACTCTCTCCCTGCCATCCCCTCTCCTCTCTGGCTGCCAGGCCTTGTCTCTGGCTTTCCTTTTGTTCCTTTTACAGGCTTTCCTCTTGAGCTGTGCTATAGGTGGAATTCAGCGACTGGGACCTGTCAGAAAAGGTTCCTGCTACAGAGCCACATCCCCAGATCCCTACAAGGGCTCTGAAAGCTCCCCAACCATCATCATCCTATGCAAGGTGGTTGTGTGTACCCAGCAAGGCAGTGTGGTGGCTCAAAGTGAATCCCAGTAGAAGCAGCTAGAACAGGATTTGGACACAGGGGTGCTCATAAACAGGCATGGCAGAACATAGGTACCATGGTGGCCAGGTTTCATGGTCCCTGCCTCCCCCGACAAGCCTCCTCTGTGTTATACAGGACACACATGCAGACCGCATACTCCTTCCTCTGTTCTCCTGCCTAGCTCACTCTGCCTTAAACCCAGGGAGACCTCCCAGGGTCAAAGGTCAAAAATCCTCTTGTCCTGCACTCACTCCCCTGTGCAGGCCTCATCTCAGCAGGAAGAATACTTAGAGAAGGCTCTGAAATTAACAGAAAGCTCTATCTAGAGTCCTAGAACTGCTACGCATGGAGGAGTGTTTGTGAGTGTGTGTGTGTGTGTGTGTGTGTGTGTGTGTGTGTGTGTGTGTGCGTGTGTGTGTTGGGTGTTTGTATACCTGGGATTATTGTGGCCTAGTCCTGTGAGAAGCCATAAGCAATGGCTGAGAGGCACAGTATGTAACAGTTATGGTGGTCAGCTCTGGGATGTAGAGGAAGGACAGGTTTGCATGCAGGGGAAGCCTTCTAGGGCTCTATCCTTCAGCTCCAGCTCAGGTGAGCACAAGGTTTGGAGTGGTGCATCGTGTGTGTGGTTGGGGGCTCAGGCCTTGCCGGGGCATGGTGGATGAGAGCATTGTGTAGGAACCATTGGAAAGGTGGTGGGACCCTCCATTGGAGTGGCCTGCCAGACAGGTCTAGGAAGTCAGGGCCTCCACCCTCACTAAGGCACCAGGAAGCTCCCTTTTTATCCTAAGCAAATGTCTCCATGAGGCTTTGTAGAGAAGCAGATTTGGAAGAGCATAGACAGGCTTGTCTCCAGGTGGCAGGGAGAGTGATTTTCTTCGAGGCTCCATGATGGAAGATGTCAGCAGTGTGGAGGCGGGCCTCTGGAGACTTTCAGTGCTCATGGAAGGAAGGCTTCCTGTTGGGGAGTGCAAAGCATTTCCCAACGGACATGGCCTAGCTACCGTGGATACCAGGGATGGGACTGTACATAGGAGCGAAGGATAGAGAAAGACAGAGATAGAGGTATAGGTGGAGGTAGAGGAGGATAGATAAATGAGGGGGGGCGACAGGGAGAGAGAGGGGGGCGGGACAGGATGAGAGAGGGTGGGAGAGCAAATGATAATCTGCATGTGGGCTGTTGGGTGTTTTCGTGATTGTTGGTGTTTTTTTCATGTAGGCTGGTGGGCAGACCCACTCTGTCTGTGGACACTTTTTTCTGTTGCATGGGTCTGGGCCCCTGGAGGGAATTTTGTGTAGGACACCTGGAATGTTGTGGGATATCCATAAGGACAGACAGGGTGGGTGTGTGCTGCAGTCATCCTGGTGTTAAGAGTGAGAATTGCTTACTTCCCTCAGCTTCTGTGTTGCCCGTCCTTGGTCCACTTGAATCTCTTGAGAGAGCTGAGTCCTGTGTGTGCCTAGGCCCTGCCACAGGTAGGTGGGTGTCCATAGAGGATACAGAGAGTTCTGTGCCTGACAGGGTCTTGGGGAAGTTAGAGACGGGAAAGAGAAGTTTCCTGTGTGGGGCCTGGTAGTTGGTGTTGGGTAGGGTGGGGAGGTGGGAGGTTAGGTTTGGGAGGCAGAGGACTGTGCAGAGGAGAGGGATTGTGACAGAGCTGGAGGTAGGTCAGAATGGTTGCCTGGTGCTGCCTAGGAGACGGTTAAGGTGGGGGCCGGGGCCCAGGGCCCAGGGTTTGGTGACAAGAGGGCAGGTGGGTGCAATGTTCCTTCTTTTGATGTGTCCTTGTCTCCTCCTCAGGGACCTGGTCGGCCTGCCTGTTGAGGCGAGGTTGTGGATGTCCCCGGACCCTCGTGGTCCCTGCTTCGGATGATGTAGGGCAGCATCCACCTGAACGCACATCACTACCAAGGCCAAGGTTTTGGAAGGAAGCCCTTCTCCTCTCCCATCTCAATATTAGACCATGGGACCATGGGCCACGGGGCTCAGGCCGCCGACCCTGGAGCCCTGACCAGTGAACACAGTTGCCTGTCCTTTACCCTTGTGTCCATCCAGGAGCGGCCTTCTGCCAGGTGGGAAGCCCGTGCTGGGCCTAGGGTCCCATTGAGTCGGGTGGTCTCCTCCCTTGTTTTCACACCTCTGCCTGTGCTCTCACTTCTGGGACACCACCAACCCACTGCCCTAGCAGGACCGGGGTCAGCATGGGAGGCCCCTCTTGGCTGGTCCCTTGACCTTGAAGCTTGGGTCAGCAGACCCAAGGCCATCCTGGCAGCTGTACTGGTCACCCTGGTGGGTGGAGTCATGTAGACAGCTGCTGGATCTCTGAAAGGTGATGTGTTTATGTGTGTGTTTGTGTGTGTGTGTGTGAGTGTGTGTGTGTGTGTGTGTGTTTGGGGTGATGGCGGGGAGAGGGCAGGGATGCAGCTGTGAGAATACCCTGGTTTGGCAGCTAGGGAGTGATGCTCAGCCTCTGCTCCCCAAATCCATGAGTATGTTTCTGAGGCTCCTTCCCTATAGTCCAGATTGGCATGTGGTTTGTGTAGGATTCCCTTAGGGTCTGGTGCGGGCTCTCAAGTGCTTCCGCGCCCACATGCACACACTCCCCACTTGGCCCCCTCCCTGACACCCTCCACCTCTGGCCCCCTCTCCAGGTACTACATGATCCCCTCAGGCGGGGCCATCATGGGCTGGCATGTGCCCAAAGCCAAGTGTTCAGGGCAGTGCAGGGCATGGAGGAAGTGTTACGGTCGGTATCCTTCATGTGCCCACCGCACCCCACCCGCTGAACACCCTGGGATCCCTAGCAGCAGCCCTAGAGCCTCATGTCAGTCCAGTCCCTTCCTACAGTGTTGGCCTCCATGTTGGAACTTGGCAAGAGAACTCTTTTTTTTTTTTTATTTTTTTGCTTTGCGAAGGGCGGAGGGAGAGCACCCAGCACCCTTGGCCGTTGGCATTCTCGGTGCACTGCTGCCATCACGCGGATTCAGTTTGCCGATTCCGCAAGCAAGGCCCTGTGCTTCCCTGGAAATGGAGGCGGCAGGCTAGGGAAGGGCTCCGGCCTGGGTCCCCCAGGACCAAAGCGGTTCTCTTTCCCACTCCAAGAGCCAGGAGAGCGGGAGGAGGAAGCAGGGTCCAGGAGACTAGCTCCGGGCGGGCGCCACGAGGGTTGCCTTGCGGGTCACGGAAGCACAGCCTCCCGGGTCCTGTGGCCGCCATGTCTTGCAGCAGCAGAGGACCTCTCTGCAGGGGATTGTGCAGCCTGGGCTGCATCAAGGTCGTTTTGGGGAGATTTCCTACCCGTGTGCTGGACCGACTGCCCTTCCTGTGGTGCACAAGTCCACCCTGGGACCCCCTAGCTTTTGTCTGAGCCTCCCTAGCGGTATCCACAGCTCACTTCTGGAGACCACACAAACTCTGTCCTGCATCTGTGGGAGGTACTCAGGGTCTCAGGCCTGGTTGCTAGCCACCTTGGCCAAATGTCTGTCATCCATTTAACTCTCTCCCTGCCATCCCCTCTCCTCTCTGGCTGCCAGGCCTTCTCTCTGGCTTTCCTTTTGTTCCTTTTACAGGCTTTCCCCTTGAGCTGTGCTATAGGTGGAATTCAGCGACTGGGACCTGTCAGAAAAGGTTCCTTCTCCAGAACCACATCCCCAGAACCGTACAAGGGCTCTGAAAGCCCCCCACCCATCATCATCCTATGCAAGGTGGTTGTGTGTACCCAGCAAGGCAGTGTGGTGGCTCAAAGTGAATCCCAGTAGAAGCAGCTCGAACAGGATTTGGACACAGGGGTGCTCATAAACAGGCATGGCAGAACGTAGGTACCGTGGTGGCCAGGTTTCATGGTCCCTGCCTCCCCCGACAAGCCTCCTCTGTGTTATGCAGGACACACATGCAGACCGCATACTCCTTCCTCTGTTCTCCTGCCTAGCTCACTCTGCCTTAAACCCAGGGAGACCTCCCAGGGTCAAAGGTCAAAAATCCCCTTGTCCTGCACTCACTCCCCTGTGCAGGCCTCATCTCAGCAGGAAGAATACTTAGAGAAGGCTCTGAAATTAACAGAGAGCTCTATCTAGAGTCCTAGAACTGCTACGCATGGAGGAGTGTTTGTGAGTGTGTGTGTGTGTGTGTGTGTGTGTGTGTGTGTGTGTGTGTGTTGGGTGTTTGTATACCTGGGATTATTGTGGCCTAGTCCTGTGAGAAGCCATAAGCAATGGCTGAGAGGCACAGTATGTAACAGTTATGGTGGTCAGCTCTGGGATGTAGAGGAAGGACAGGTTTGCATGCAGGGGAAGCCTTCTAGGGCTCTATCCTTCAGCTCCAGCTCAGGTGAGCACAAGGTTTGGAGTGGTGCATCGTGTGTGTGGTTTGGGGCTCAGGACTTGCCGGGGTATGGTGGATGAGAGCATTGTGTAGGAACCATTGGAAAGGTGGTGGGGCCCTCCATTGGAGTGGCCTGCCAAGCAGGTCTAGGAAGTCAGGGCCTCCACCCTCACCAAGGCACCAGGAAGCTCCCTTTTTATCCTAAGCAAATGTCTCCATGAGGCTTTGTAGAGAAGGAGATTTGGAAGAGCCATAGACAGGCTTGTCTCCAGGTGGCAGGGAGAGTGATTTTCTTCGAGGCTCCATGATGGAAGATGTCAGCAGTGTGGAGGAGGGCCTCTGGAGACTTTCAGTGCTCATGGAAGGAAGGCTTCCTGTTGGGGAGAGGAAAGCATTTCCCAACGGAACATGGCCTAGCTACCGTGGATACCAGGGATGGGACTGTACATAGGAGCGAAGGATAGAGAAAGACAGAGATAGAGGTATAGGTGGAGGTAGAGGAGGATAGATAAATGAGGGGGGGCGACAGGGAGAGAGAGGGGGGCGGGACAGGATGAGAGAGGGTGGGAGAGCAAATGAGAATCTGCATGTGGGCTGTTGGGTGTTTTCGTGATTGTTGGTGTTTTTTTCATGCAGGCTGGTGGGCAGACCCACTCTGTCTGTGGACACTTTTTTCTGTTGCATGGGTCTGGGCCCCTGGAGGGAATTTTGTGTAGGACACCTGCAATGTTGTGGGATATCCATAAGGACAGACAGGGTGGGTGTGTGCTGCAGGCATCCTGGTGTTGGTGTTAAGAGTGAGAATGACTTCTTGTCCCTTAATTCTATGTTGCTGTCCTCGGGCCAGTTGAATCTCTTGAGAGAGCTGAGTCTTGTGTGTGCCTAGGCCCTGCCACAGGTAGGTGGGTGTCCATAGAGGATACAGAGAGTTCCGTGCCTGACAGGGTCTCGGGGAAGTTAGAGAAGGGAAAAAGAGAAGTTTCCTGTGTGGGGCCTGGTAGTTGGTGTAGGGTAGGGTGGGGAGGTGGGAGGTTAGGTTTGGGAGGCAGAGGACTGTGCAGAGGAGAGGGATTGTGACAGAGCTGGAGGTAGGTCAGAATGGTTGCCTGGTGCTGCCTAGGAGACGGTTATGGTGGGGGCCGGGACCCAGGGTTTGGTGACAAGAGGGCAGGTGGGCGCAATGTTCCTTCTTTTGATGTGTCCTTGTCTCCTCCTCAGGGACCTGGTCGGCCTGCCTGTTGAGGCGAGGTTGTGGATGTCCCCGGACCCTCGTGGTCCCTGCTTCGGATGATGTAGGGCAGCATCCACCTGAACGCACATCACTACCAAGGCCAAGGTTTTGGAAGGAAGCCCTTCTCCTCTCCCATCTCAATATTAGACCATGGGACCATGGGCCACGGGGCTCAGGCCGCCGACCCTGGAGCCCTGACCAGTGAACACAGTTGCCTGTCCTTTACCCTTGTGTCCATCCAGGAGCGGCCTTCTGCCAGGTGGGAAGCCCGTGCTGGGCCTAGGGTCCCATTGAGTCGGGTGGTCTCCTCCCTTGTTTTCACACCTCTGCCTGTGCTCTCACTTCTGGGACACCACCAACCCACTGCCCTAGCAGGACCGGGGTCAGCATGGGAGGCCCCTCTTGGCTGGTCCCTTGACCTTGAAGCTTGGGTCAGCAGACCCAAGGCCATCCTGGCAGCTGTACTGGTCACCCTGGTGGGTGGAGTCATGTAGACAGCTGCTGGATCTCTGAAAGGTGATGTGTTTATGTGTGTGTTTGTGTGTGTGTGTGTGAGTGTGTGTGTGTGTGTGTGTGTTTGGGGTGATGGCGGGGAGAGGGCAGGGATGCAGCTGTGAGAATACCCTGGTTTGGCAGCTAGGGAGTGATGCTCAGCCTCTGCTCCCCAAATCCATGAGTATGTTTCTGAGGCTCCTTCCCTATAGTCCAGATTGGCATGTGGTTTGTGTAGGATTCCCTTAGGGTCTGGTGCGGGCTCTCAAGTGCTTCCGCGCCCACATGCACACACTCCCCACTTGGCCCCCTCCCTGACACCCTCCACCTCTGGCCCCCTCTCCAGGTACTACATGATCCCCTCAGGCGGGGCCATCATGGGCTGGCATGTGCCCAAAGCCAAGTGTTCAGGGCAGTGCAGGGCATGGAGGAAGTGTTACGGTCGGTATCCTTCATGTGCCCACCGCACCCCACCCGCTGAACACCCTGGGATCCCTAGCAGCAGCCCTAGAGCCTCATGTCAGTCCAGTCCCTTCCTACAGTGTTGGCCTCCATGTTGGAACTTGGCAAGAGAACTCTTTTTTTTTTTTTATTTTTTTGCTTTGCGAAGGGCGGAGGGAGAGCACCCAGCACCCTTGGCCGTTGGCATTCTCGGTGCACTGCTGCCATCACGCGGATTCAGTTTGCCGATTCCGCAAGCAAGGCCCTGTGCTTCCCTGGAAATGGAGGCGGCAGGCTAGGGAAGGGCTCCGGCCTGGGTCCCCCAGGACCAAAGCGGTTCTCTTTCCCACTCCAAGAGCCAGGAGAGCGGGAGGAGGAAGCAGGGTCCAGGAGACTAGCTCCGGGCGGGCGCCACGAGGGTTGCCTTGCGGGTCACGGAAGCACAGCCTCCCGGGTCCTGTGGCCGCCATGTCTTGCAGCAGCAGAGGACCTCTCTGCAGGGGATTGTGCAGCCTGGGCTGCATCAAGGTCGTTTTGGGGAGATTTCCTACCCGTGTGCTGGACCGACTGCCCTTCCTGTGGTGCACAAGTCCACCCTGGGACCCCCTAGCTTTTGTCTGAGCCTCCCTAGCGGTATCCACAGCTCACTTCTGGAGACCACACAAACTCTGTCCTGCATCTGTGGGAGGTACTCAGGGTCTCAGGCCTGGTTGCTAGCCACCTTGGCCAAATGTCTGTCATCCATTTAACTCTCTCCCTGCCATCCCCTCTCCTCTCTGGCTGCCAGGCCTTCTCTCTGGCTTTCCTTTTGTTCCTTTTACAGGCTTTCCCCTTGAGCTGTGCTATAGGTGGAATTCAGCGACTGGGACCTGTCAGAAAAGGTTCCTTCTCCAGAACCACATCCCCAGAACCGTACAAGGGCTCTGAAAGCCCCCCACCCATCATCATCCTATGCAAGGTGGTTGTGTGTACCCAGCAAGGCAGTGTGGTGGCTCAAAGTGAATCCCAGTAGAAGCAGCTCGAACAGGATTTGGACACAGGGGTGCTCATAAACAGGCATGGCAGAACGTAGGTACCGTGGTGGCCAGGTTTCATGGTCCCTGCCTCCCCCGACAAGCCTCCTCTGTGTTATGCAGGACACACATGCAGACCGCATACTCCTTCCTCTGTTCTCCTGCCTAGCTCACTCTGCCTTAAACCCAGGGAGACCTCCCAGGGTCAAAGGTCAAAAATCCCCTTGTCCTGCACTCACTCCCCTGTGCAGGCCTCATCTCAGCAGGAAGAATACTTAGAGAAGGCTCTGAAATTAACAGAGAGCTCTATCTAGAGTCCTAGAACTGCTACGCATGGAGGAGTGTTTGTGAGTGTGTGTGTGTGTGTGTGTGTGTGTGTGTGTGTGTGTTGGGTGTTTGTATACCTGGGATTATTGTGGCCTAGTCCTGTGAGAAGCCATAAGCAATGGCTGAGAGGCACAGTATGTAACAGTTATGGTGGTCAGCTCTGGGATGTAGAGGAAGGACAGGTTTGCATGCAGGGGAAGCCTTCTAGGGCTCTATCCTTCAGCTCCAGCTCAGGTGAGCACAAGGTTTGGAGTGGTGCATCGTGTGTGTGGTTTGGGGCTCAGGACTTGCCGGGGTATGGTGGATGAGAGCATTGTGTAGGAACCATTGGAAAGGTGGTGGGGCCCTCCATTGGAGTGGCCTGCCAAGCAGGTCTAGGAAGTCAGGGCCTCCACCCTCACCAAGGCACCAGGAAGCTCCCTTTTTATCCTAAGCAAATGTCTCCATGAGGCTTTGTAGAGAAGGAGATTTGGAAGAGCCATAGACAGGCTTGTCTCCAGGTGGCAGGGAGAGTGATTTTCTTCGAGGCTCCATGATGGAAGATGTCAGCAGTGTGGAGGAGGGCCTCTGGAGACTTTCAGTGCTCATGGAAGGAAGGCTTCCTGTTGGGGAGAGGAAAGCATTTCCCAACGGAACATGGCCTAGCTACCGTGGATACCAGGGATGGGACTGTACATAGGAGCGAAGGATAGAGAAAGACAGAGATAGAGGTATAGGTGGAGGTAGAGGAGGATAGATAAATGAGGGGGGGCGACAGGGAGAGAGAGGGGGGCGGGACAGGATGAGAGAGGGTGGGAGAGCAAATGAGAATCTGCATGTGGGCTGTTGGGTGTTTTCGTGATTGTTGGTGTTTTTTTCATGCAGGCTGGTGGGCAGACCCACTCTGTCTGTGGACACTTTTTTCTGTTGCATGGGTCTGGGCCCCTGGAGGGAATTTTGTGTAGGACACCTGCAATGTTGTGGGATATCCATAAGGACAGACAGGGTGGGTGTGTGCTGCAGGCATCCTGGTGTTGGTGTTAAGAGTGAGAATGACTTCTTGTCCCTTAATTCTATGTTGCTGTCCTCGGGCCAGTTGAATCTCTTGAGAGAGCTGAGTCTTGTGTGTGCCTAGGCCCTGCCACAGGTAGGTGGGTGTCCATAGAGGATACAGAGAGTTCCGTGCCTGACAGGGTCTCGGGGAAGTTAGAGAAGGGAAAAAGAGAAGTTTCCTGTGTGGGGCCTGGTAGTTGGTGTAGGGTAGGGTGGGGAGGTGGGAGGTTAGGTTTGGGAGGCAGAGGACTGTGCAGAGGAGAGGGATTGTGACAGAGCTGGAGGTAGGTCAGAATGGTTGCCTGGTGCTGCCTAGGAGACGGTTATGGTGGGGGCCGGGACCCAGGGTTTGGTGACAAGAGGGCAGGTGGGCGCAATGTTCCTTCTTTTGATGTGTCCTTGTCTCCTCCTCAGGGACCTGGTCGGCCTGCCTGTTGAGGCGAGGTTGTGGATGTCCCCGGACCCTCGTGGTCCCTGCTTCGGATGATGTAGGGCAGCATCCACCTGAACGCACATCACTACCAAGGCCAAGGTTTTGGAAGGAAGCCCTTCTCCTCTCCCATCTCAATATTAGACCATGGGACCATGGGCCACGGGGCTCAGGCCGCCGACCCTGGAGCCCTGACCAGTGAACACAGTTGCCTGTCCTTTACCCTTGTGTCCATCCAGGAGCGGCCTTCTGCCAGGTGGGAAGCCCGTGCTGGGCCTAGGGTCCCATTGAGTCGGGTGGTCTCCTCCCTTGTTTTCACACCTCTGCCTGTGCTCTCACTTCTGGGACACCACCAACCCACTGCCCTAGCAGGACCGGGGTCAGCATGGGAGGCCCCTCTTGGCTGGTCCCTTGACCTTGAAGCTTGGGTCAGCAGACCCAAGGCCATCCTGGCAGCTGTACTGGTCACCCTGGTGGGTGGAGTCATGTAGACAGCTGCTGGATCTCTGAAAGGTGATGTGTTTATGTGTGTGTTTGTGTGTGTGTGTGTGAGTGTGTGTGTGTGTGTGTGTGTTTGGGGTGATGGCGGGGAGAGGGCAGGGATGCAGCTGTGAGAATACCCTGGTTTGGCAGCTAGGGAGTGATGCTCAGCCTCTGCTCCCCAAATCCATGAGTATGTTTCTGAGGCTCCTTCCCTATAGTCCAGATTGGCATGTGGTTTGTGTAGGATTCCCTTAGGGTCTGGTGCGGGCTCTCAAGTGCTTCCGCGCCCACATGCACACACTCCCCACTTGGCCCCCTCCCTGACACCCTCCACCTCTGGCCCCCTCTCCAGGTACTACATGATCCCCTCAGGCGGGGCCATCATGGGCTGGCATGTGCCCAAAGCCAAGTGTTCAGGGCAGTGCAGGGCATGGAGGAAGTGTTACGGTCGGTATCCTTCATGTGCCCACCGCACCCCACCCGCTGAACACCCTGGGATCCCTAGCAGCAGCCCTAGAGCCTCATGTCAGTCCAGTCCCTTCCTACAGTGTTGGCCTCCATGTTGGAACTTGGCAAGAGAACTCTTTTTTTTTTTTTATTTTTTTGCTTTGCGAAGGGCGGAGGGAGAGCACCCAGCACCCTTGGCCGTTGGCATTCTCGGTGCACTGCTGCCATCACGCGGATTCAGTTTGCCGATTCCGCAAGCAAGGCCCTGTGCTTCCCTGGAAATGGAGGCGGCAGGCTAGGGAAGGGCTCCGGCCTGGGTCCCCCAGGACCAAAGCGGTTCTCTTTCCCACTCCAAGAGCCAGGAGAGCGGGAGGAGGAAGCAGGGTCCAGGAGACTAGCTCCGGGCGGGCGCCACGAGGGTTGCCTTGCGGGTCACGGAAGCACAGCCTCCCGGGTCCTGTGGCCGCCATGTCTTGCAGCAGCAGAGGACCTCTCTGCAGGGGATTGTGCAGCCTGGGCTGCATCAAGGTCGTTTTGGGGAGATTTCCTACCCGTGTGCTGGACCGACTGCCCTTCCTGTGGTGCACAAGTCCACCCTGGGACCCCCTAGCTTTTGTCTGAGCCTCCCTAGCGGTATCCACAGCTCACTTCTGGAGACCACACAAACTCTGTCCTGCATCTGTGGGAGGTACTCAGGGTCTCAGGCCTGGTTGCTAGCCACCTTGGCCAAATGTCTGTCATCCATTTAACTCTCTCCCTGCCATCCCCTCTCCTCTCTGGCTGCCAGGCCTTCTCTCTGGCTTTCCTTTTGTTCCTTTTACAGGCTTTCCCCTTGAGCTGTGCTATAGGTGGAATTCAGCGACTGGGACCTGTCAGAAAAGGTTCCTTCTCCAGAACCACATCCCCAGAACCGTACAAGGGCTCTGAAAGCCCCCCACCCATCATCATCCTATGCAAGGTGGTTGTGTGTACCCAGCAAGGCAGTGTGGTGGCTCAAAGTGAATCCCAGTAGAAGCAGCTCGAACAGGATTTGGACACAGGGGTGCTCATAAACAGGCATGGCAGAACGTAGGTACCGTGGTGGCCAGGTTTCATGGTCCCTGCCTCCCCCGACAAGCCTCCTCTGTGTTATGCAGGACACACATGCAGACCGCATACTCCTTCCTCTGTTCTCCTGCCTAGCTCACTCTGCCTTAAACCCAGGGAGACCTCCCAGGGTCAAAGGTCAAAAATCCCCTTGTCCTGCACTCACTCCCCTGTGCAGGCCTCATCTCAGCAGGAAGAATACTTAGAGAAGGCTCTGAAATTAACAGAGAGCTCTATCTAGAGTCCTAGAACTGCTACGCATGGAGGAGTGTTTGTGAGTGTGTGTGTGTGTGTGTGTGTGTGTGTGTGTGTGTTGGGTGTTTGTATACCTGGGATTATTGTGGCCTAGTCCTGTGAGAAGCCATAAGCAATGGCTGAGAGGCACAGTATGTAACAGTTATGGTGGTCAGCTCTGGGATGTAGAGGAAGGACAGGTTTGCATGCAGGGGAAGCCTTCTAGGGCTCTATCCTTCAGCTCCAGCTCAGGTGAGCACAAGGTTTGGAGTGGTGCATCGTGTGTGTGGTTTGGGGCTCAGGACTTGCCGGGGTATGGTGGATGAGAGCATTGTGTAGGAACCATTGGAAAGGTGGTGGGGCCCTCCATTGGAGTGGCCTGCCAAGCAGGTCTAGGAAGTCAGGGCCTCCACCCTCACCAAGGCACCAGGAAGCTCCCTTTTTATCCTAAGCAAATGTCTCCATGAGGCTTTGTAGAGAAGGAGATTTGGAAGAGCCATAGACAGGCTTGTCTCCAGGTGGCAGGGAGAGTGATTTTCTTCGAGGCTCCATGATGGAAGATGTCAGCAGTGTGGAGGAGGGCCTCTGGAGACTTTCAGTGCTCATGGAAGGAAGGCTTCCTGTTGGGGAGAGGAAAGCATTTCCCAACGGAACATGGCCTAGCTACCGTGGATACCAGGGATGGGACTGTACATAGGAGCGAAGGATAGAGAAAGACAGAGATAGAGGTATAGGTGGAGGTAGAGGAGGATAGATAAATGAGGGGGGGCGACAGGGAGAGAGAGGGGGGCGGGACAGGATGAGAGAGGGTGGGAGAGCAAATGAGAATCTGCATGTGGGCTGTTGGGTGTTTTCGTGATTGTTGGTGTTTTTTTCATGCAGGCTGGTGGGCAGACCCACTCTGTCTGTGGACACTTTTTTCTGTTGCATGGGTCTGGGCCCCTGGAGGGAATTTTGTGTAGGACACCTGCAATGTTGTGGGATATCCATAAGGACAGACAGGGTGGGTGTGTGCTGCAGGCATCCTGGTGTTGGTGTTAAGAGTGAGAATGACTTCTTGTCCCTTAATTCTATGTTGCTGTCCTCGGGCCAGTTGAATCTCTTGAGAGAGCTGAGTCTTGTGTGTGCCTAGGCCCTGCCACAGGTAGGTGGGTGTCCATAGAGGATACAGAGAGTTCCGTGCCTGACAGGGTCTCGGGGAAGTTAGAGAAGGGAAAAAGAGAAGTTTCCTGTGTGGGGCCTGGTAGTTGGTGTAGGGTAGGGTGGGGAGGTGGGAGGTTAGGTTTGGGAGGCAGAGGACTGTGCAGAGGAGAGGGATTGTGACAGAGCTGGAGGTAGGTCAGAATGGTTGCCTGGTGCTGCCTAGGAGACGGTTATGGTGGGGGCCGGGACCCAGGGTTTGGTGACAAGAGGGCAGGTGGGCGCAATGTTCCTTCTTTTGATGTGTCCTTGTCTCCTCCTCAGGGACCTGGTCGGCCTGCCTGTTGAGGCGAGGTTGTGGATGTCCCCGGACCCTCGTGGTCCCTGCTTCGGATGATGTAGGGCAGCATCCACCTGAACGCACATCACTACCAAGGCCAAGGTTTTGGAAGGAAGCCCTTCTCCTCTCCCATCTCAATATTAGACCATGGGACCATGGGCCACGGGGCTCAGGCCGCCGACCCTGGAGCCCTGACCAGTGAACACAGCTGCCTGTCCTTTACCCTTGTGTCCATCCAGGAGCGGCCTTCTGCCAGGTGGGAAGCCCGTGCTGGGCCTAGGGTCCCATTGAGTCGGGTGGTCACCTCTCTTGTTTTCACACCTCCGCGTGTGCTCTGGGTTCTGGGACACCACCAACCCACTGCCCTAGCAGGACCGGGGTCAGCATGGGAGGCCCCTCTTGGCTGGTCCCTTGACCTTGAAGCTTGGGTCAGCAGACCCAAGGCCATCCTGGCAGCTGTACTGGTCACCCTGGTGGGTGGAGTCATGTAGACAGCTGCTGGATCTCTGAAAGCTGCTGTGTGTGTGTGTGTGTGTGTGTGTGTTTGGCGTGAGGGCGGGGCGAGGGCAGGGATGCAGCTGTGAGAATACCCTGGTTTGGCAGCTAGGGAGTGATGCTCAGCCCCTGCTCCCCAAATCCATGAGTATGTTTCTAAGACTCCTCCCCTTTAGTCCAGATTGGCATGTGGTTTGTGTAGGATTCCCTTAGGGTCTGGTGCGGGCTCTCAAGTGCTTCTGTGCCCACATGCACACACTCCCCACTTGGCCCCCTCCGTGACACCCTCCACCACCAGCTCCCTCTCCAGGTACTACATGATACCCTCAGGCGGGGCTATCATGGGATGGCACACGTGCCCAAAGCCAAGTGTCTCAGGGCAGTGCAGGGCATGCAGGAACCTGTTAAGGTCGGTATCCTCCATCTGCACACCGCACCCCACCCGCTGAACACCCTGGGGTTACTAGCAGCAGCCCTAGAGTCTCATGTCAGTCCAGTCCCTTCATACTTACTTGGCCTCCATCTTGGAACTTGGCAGGAAAACTCTTTTTTTTTTTTTTAATTTTTTTGCTTTGCGAAGGGCGGAGGGAGAGCACCCTGCACCCTTGGCGGTTGGCATTCTCGGTGCACTGCTGCCATCACGCGGATTCAGTTTGCCGATTCCGCCAGCAAGGCCCTGTGCTTCCCTGGAAATGGAGGCGGCAGGCTAGGGAAGGGCTCCGGCCTGGGTCTCCCAGGACCAAAGCGGTTCTCTTTCCCACTCCAAGAGCCAGGAGAGCGGGAGGAGGAAGCAGGGTCCAGGAGACTAGCTCCGGGCGGGCGCCACGAGGGTTGGCTTGCGGGTCACGGAAGCACAGCCTCCCGGGTCCTGTGGCCGCCATGTCTTGCAGCAGCAGAGGACCTCTCTGCAGGGGATTGTGCAGCCTGGGCTGCATCAAGGTCGTTTTGGGGAGATTTCCTACCCGTGTGCTGGACCGACTGCCCTTCCTGTGGTGCACAAGTCCACCCTGGGACCCCCTAGCTTTTGTCTGAGCCTCCCTAGCGGTATCCACAGCTCACTTCTGGAGACCACACAAACTCTGTCCTGCATCTGTGGGAGGTACTCAGGGTCTCAGGCCTGGTTGCTAGCCACCTTGGCCAAATGTCTGTCATCCATTTAACTCTCTCCCTGCCATCCCCTCTCCTCTCTGGCTGCCAGGCCTTCTCTCTGGCTTTCCTTTTGTTCCTTTTACAGGCTTTCCCCTTGAGCTGTGCTATAGGTGGAATTCAGCGACTGGGACCTGTCAGAAAAGGTTCCTTCTCCAGAACCACATCCCCAGAACCGTACAAGGGCTCTGAAAGCCCCCCACCCATCATCATCCTATGCAAGGTGGTTGTGTGTACCCAGCAAGGCAGTGTGGTGGCTCAAAGTGAATCCCAGTAGAAGCAGCTCGAACAGGATTTGGACACAGGGGTGCTCATAAACAGGCATGGCAGAACGTAGGTACCGTGGTGGCCAGGTTTCATGGTCCCTGCCTCCCCCGACAAGCCTCCTCTGTGTTATGCAGGACACACATGCAGACCGCATACTCCTTCCTCTGTTCTCCTGCCTAGCTCACTCTGCCTTAAACCCAGGGAGACCTCCCAGGGTCAAAGGTCAAAAATCCCCTTGTCCTGCACTCACTCCCCTGTGCAGGCCTCATCTCAGCAGGAAGAATACTTAGAGAAGGCTCTGAAATTAACAGAGAGCTCTATCTAGAGTCCTAGAACTGCTACGCATGGAGGAGTGTTTGTGAGTGTGTGTGTGTGTGTGTGTGTGTGTGTGTGTGTGTTGGGTGTTTGTATACCTGGGATTATTGT